TGCACATACGGGAGTGTATCTTAAGTCCTACACCAACATTTTTGGTTGAGTATGTTAATAATACTACAACTAAGCCTACTCAATAACTTAGAATAATATGCCATGAGATGAATACATTATATCCATACAGTACCGCTTCCAAGTCGGTGATCTTAGAGCGCAACATAAGTCAACTCAAAATAAATATCTTAAATAGCAGACCTCTTTAAATAGCATTACAAATGTAAGGCACACAAAGAACCCTAGTAAGCACGGATTCGGATCCTTTCTCTATAGTGCCGTTCTGTAAAGAGTTGCTCATTGAAATACATAGACCTTATTACTTGTGCTGGTGCTCAGACATAATTCTTAGTGAACATATAAAGACCAGGCAGATAGCGGCTCGTTGGTATAGGGTGAAAAGCTTGCGGGAACCCCTCTCCCTTATTGTGGCTCCTCGTCGTGTTCCAGATAAAGATCTGTTGCTGATATTGGGAGGATGCACAGGTCTGTCCTCAAGCTTCCGGACCCTATCTAGGAGGATAAGAAGAGTTGACAGACCCAGAGCAGGATGACAGTGATGAAACTGTGACAGCTCAACAAACGAGCACCAGTGATCTTTCCAGAGCAATCCGACCGTGTGTGTGTGTATCAGTGCCTGTTCCTTCCAACACAGCAATTGCTCCCGGATTCTAGTACTAGTACTGAGCAATGCCCCATGCTTTTTTCCCCACATAGTAATCGTTGTGTGTGTGTGTCCTCCCTCACCCACAGACAGACATTAACACTTAAATTTGTGTGTAATGGTGTACCTGTTAGTCCGTGAGTGTTTTGTAAGCATATAATACAATACGTTTCAGTTTTTTTTGTCTTTTCAAGACTGCCTTCAAATTGTTCGATGCCCATTGTGGGGGAGCAAAAGAAATTATCTCCTGTTCCTGCACTTTGTTTTGTCCCCTGGCGGCCTGTTTGCTTTGCATAGGTCAGGAGATCAATACAGGAGTCAGAGAAAAGGGGGACATTCAGCATCAGATAGATAAAAAGGTAGTTCACAATACATAAAACATGCTAACACTGGATCTTTCTCCATTTCGCCACAGTTAGGTCTACTATCCCTGATTGGCAGAGTTTGTAATTTCTAATTCGCTGAAAAATGCTCCATTTCCCTGATGATCAAAACAAATGCACTTGAGAAGAAGACAGAACAAAAAGAGCCCTCAAAAAAAGAGAATAAATATAAAGATCAGGGGCCCTAGAATCAAAACAATGTGGGACTTTTCCAAGTGTCCTTCGGAAAAATGGTCGCCTACATTAAACGACAGCATCGGGACTAAAGGTTTCGTCTACAACGCACCTATACCACAGTGATTAGTTGCTGCATACCTCCTTTCATAATAAATATCCTACTCTAATATTAATTATCGAAATAAAGATAACATAATAATGATAACAGTAAAAAGCTAGATTCCATCCATTTCTGCGATCTTTTTTTTGGGGTTTTGTTTTGTTGTTTTTTTTTTTTCTTTAATCACAGCAAGTTGGAAAGCAATGGGGTTCCCATCTCACTAATAATCTCTCTACCAATTACTATCCCCCTCCCATATGCTCCTAGTCTTCCTCCTCTTGCAATCAACCCACAACCAGCAACTATTTTCATCAGCATCCTCTTCATCATCTAGAAGCAGTCGCTGGGTGTCTACTCCCTGCGCATCTCCCATCCGCCTCTTTGGTTGCTATTGCATCCGTTCGGCTTGTAGCTGCTGGGGCTGGTACTGACTGAAGGCCGCAGCTGCGGCTGCAGACCCTGGCGCGGCGGTGGCCAGTGGCTGCTGCATGGTGTAGCCATAGCCGGCGGTAGCTACGTAGCCAGTTGCGGCGGGAGAGGCAGCGTACGGGTATTGCTCGTAGGCTGCAGCGGCTGCAGCGGTTGCAGCACTGGCGTACTGTGCGTAGGCTGCACCTGTATAGTCGATGTAAGGTGAAGACGCGGTGGCGGAGGCCGCCGCTGGCTGGATGTGAGGGATGACCACACTGGGCTGCATGAAGGCCTGCGGGTACACGTAGTGAGTGGGGATCCTGTGAGAGACAAATACAACAGCATGTTAGCATTGCATTATGGACACATCAAATACAGAACCACAACCACAGTGCGGCCAAGCACCCCATTTCCACAATTCAATAACACCACGGAAATGCCTGCTAGTGATTAGAAATATAAGGTTGCCAAAATAGATATCTCTCTGTACAAGTGTAATTTCTATGCCATTAGCGTTACCAAATAATTACTGTTTTCAAACAGGTTTTTCCAAAATTCCCCTATGTGTCATTGGTCAAACAAATGGTTTCTCCATCCCCAAAGCCATGAAACAGAGCAATTTTAAGAATTAAAGGTATTTAAAAAAACTAAAAAAACAAATCACCCTCTAATATTTAAAAGAAAGTTAAATCCAACTGAACATTATCCCCATCAGCTATTGGTCAAGCAATCAGATGCCCCGCCCCCAAGCTCATGCCATTGGCTGATCCGCTCCTCTGCTATCAACGAGAGGAACGTCTGTACTTCCTCAACAGACCACGAAACAACCACTTTTTGGTTGTTAAAAAAAGGTGCGCTCGTTCAAAACAGTTGCGGTTTCTCCATCCCCAAAGCCATGAAATTTTAAGAATTAAAGGTATTTAAAAAAATTTAAAAAAATTCACCCTCTAATATTTAAAAGAAAGTTAAATCCAACTGAACATTATCCCCATCAGCTATTGGTCAAGCAATCAGATGCCCCGCCCCCAAGCTCATGCCATTGGCTGATCCGCTCCTCTGCTATCAACGAGAGGAACGTCTGTACTTCCTCAACAGACCACGAAACAACCACTTTTTGGTTGTTAAAAAAAGGTGCGCTCATTCAAAACAGTTGTGTTTGATCCTTCGCTGGCTGTGCTGATTTAAATCTAGCGGTTCTGTTGTGTTTGTGTCGCAAGTTCAGTGGCGCAGGTAGTGACGATTCTCTCCGGCCAATACGTGATCAGCAGAGTTTACACGTCACGTTTTGGTAACGGTACGGTTCGCTTGGAACCTCAACCGAGGTGGTACTAAAAAAAAGTACCAGGTCCCAGGTACTGTCCCCAATGGAACCCCCCCCAAAAGTGACCCGTACGGAGCCGTACCGTGCAGTGGAAAAGCGCCAAAAGAGAGCAATGTTTTGATAACGCCTCAGTGTTTGCACTTTCTGGGCGAATCAACCTACAATTGTCTAAAAGTTGTCTGTACGCTAACCTGGGACAGGAGAAAATTATTTAACATTCGAAAAAATATAAAACACCTTTTAATACTTAAAATGCTAAGTTAACAGATTCGGAATCATCGGTGTTAAAAGTCACATGCGTTCAACACCCCTGTGTCCGTCCTATGAAATGGGGGAAGGTAGGACCCAGGAGAGGCGAAGAGGAGATGAGGGGAGCATTGTGAATATGTCAGGGCTACTTTGACAGCTGGACAGTTTTCAAAAAGGGACGTTGCTGGCTGTTTCCCCCTCCGCACTTAGACAATAAGCCTCAGGCTGGACAGCGCACACAGAGGGGAGTTTTGATTAAATAAGCAATCAGGAACAATGTGCCCATTCTGCCTTTCATTATGTACCCCATTGCACTTTCAGAGCGCTTTTCACATTTACTGTCTGCACTACACAGACAGGTGAGAACTTATTAAATTAGTTCAGGGATGATAGAATGCATTGAAATGCCTGTGACTCACTAAATATGATTTAATAAGGCAATACAGCTATATTGTAAAAGACAGTGACATCTGTGAGAATTTAGGGTAAGAGATTCTTATGAAAAACTAAATTGAGTTTAAGGTGAAATTTTGACTTTAAAGAAACAGGGAACAGTGGCTGTTGGGGGAAAAACAATTTATTAAGATTATGTTTATGACTGGAATATGAGCTAATTACTTCCAATATTTCCGAGTTGGTTTGAAAAAGTGAGAGAACAGTTCTATCATGGCAACCCTATTTGTAGCACACAACTATATCAAATCAAACCTCAACCCCTGACCACCCCAAAAAACAAACTTCAAAACATCAAAGGGCAAAGATGCTCTTATGAAATCTTTCATAGATGACAGCAGGGATTTTGTTAATATAGACTACCATTAGTCATACACAAAAGAGTCAAACACAGTGAAAACACACTCTACATACTGTAGGCTTCAAACATGGAGAAGTTCACATTCAACCTGCACAGGCACCACAACACAAAAACATCACCACACATAAGTGACTATTCACTCATTTAATAAATAAAATACTTCGCTAATTTAAAACAAGGTGCACACTGGGCTCTTAAAATATTAAACAAACACATTTATTCTATGACTTAAATATGTATCAGTGCCAGAAATGAACTAATTATTATTAATAATAATTAACCACCAACAACTTAACTATTACAAATTAAGGGACAATATTTGTCCACCGGATTTTATGGGCATTTTTTTTTTTTCTTTTACTTTTTTCAATTAAATTAATTAAGTAACATAAAATTAGTAATTAGAATAATTAGATGTATGAGAATGTTACCAATCAAATCAAAAATCAATAAATTTTGAGATTGCACCAAAATATGACAACAGAATATAAGCAGAGCTTGTCCATGCAAAAGTAATTCTGGGTAGTTGCTAGGGCACTGCTATGCGGTTGCTAAAGAACTGTGGCTGGTCACTAAGGTGTTTTTGACTCTGGACTGTATAAAGAATAGCTTAAGTAGTAAAGTTAGTAGCAAATAAATAAATGGAATAAACCTTCTAGCTCTTAATGGATGTAGCTAAGCACATCTTTAAGAAAGAAAATCCAAACATTAAATTAAAAAAATACATATATAGGTTAAATGTAATACTCTTGCTCAGTGCATGTCTGTCACAACATGGTCTAATATTAGGTTGGTCTATTGGTTTTTAGCACATTGGGATTCATACTACCGAACACGCTGTCTAAAAGCAGTACCAAGTTTCAGAGAAATGACAGAAACCTTGCGCAACCACTTTTGTGTTAAACAAAGTGCAGCTGACTCAAGACACAGTCAGTGCAGCTCTTTCGGTGTGAGTGACAGGGAGGGCTGGACGCTATTTTCTGCTTCCTCGGTCATTCCACACTAGAACGCCATTTTCTAAATGGAAGAAGATTTCACCTTCTACATCTTTATCTATTCGTCTAGTGAGCACTTAAGAAAATACTACACATCTGATCTGTCTTTTTTTTTTTTTTTTAAGTCACATGACTATGAGCCAAAATAATCAGTGATTTATACTAACAACTTACTCCCATTGACAACTGGTTATCAGGTTCTTTCAAACAGAGATTAAATTAATTGTTGGTACTGTGCTGCTCAAGAGCGACCATAAATATATCAATTTCTCCATCTAGACCACTGCAGCCCAGGAACATTGAAGTTTGTGTCTACATAAAGGTCAATTTTGGAGTTCCAAAGAACTAAAAGTCACCTGTTGTCATCTGTGAAGATCTCAGCTGTGCAACTATGAATAGGGCAACAAGACCTAGACTTACATATGCTACACACTTTGGACAAATTCAAGGTTCAAGGCTTCTTTATTAATACCCGAAGGTAAATTTGTTGTGTAGACAGGTAATTGGCCAGATGCTCCTCGTTGTCATGATCTGGTTAGGTTGTTTTTACACACTATGTGTGATAATGGCATATTTAACACTGAACTCTTGAGAAACTCTACAAAGAAAGTTGCAGAACTGGCATGACTTTGCAAATTTCAAACCTGGCCTATATATTACACAGTTCCAATTTGACTACCAACACCGTTTGGTTGCGTTTGGCCCCTGAACAACATTTTCCAACCGCTTTGAGGTCAAAGTATGATGCCACTGTTCATTTGACACGCAGCTTCCTGACAACACCGTCAAAAAATGCCTTAACACAGTGCACTAGTGCTAGGCAAGAGGTGCCATCTCAGCAGCAATGTGGCGCATGTTGGGCCTTGTTGAGTTTATCTCGAAGCTAAATGTCAGGAGCTGCCCAGCCCCCCAAGCCGAGAGAGAGTGTGTGACAGTGACCGGAGCCAGAGAGAGAGAGGGAGAAAGAGAAAGACAGTGTTAAAGAGCGAGAGAAAGCTTCATGCGACTGCAGTGTCAGCACTACAGCCTTTGTGCAAAACAATGGTGAAGCTTGTTTTCCTTAACGCCGCACGGGGCCATGCTAGAGTAAAGAGACGACAGTGGAGAAACAGTGAGAGAGCGAGAGCTGAAAAAGGAGGAGAAATGAACAGACACATGATGGAGAGGTGAGAGAACGGTACATGTCAGTCTCTGTGTTGTGAGTGTGACAGGATGCCCAATCAGTGAGCAAAATAAAACCGCAACGTGCAAGTTTGTAGTCGGGCTGTTGGGTTGGCGTGAAGAGGGATCAACAATGGCACACAAAACAAAACGGCACTCACTCCAATAACAAGACACCAGAAAACACAAAAAAGTGAAAGAAATTAAATAAAATAATAAATGATCAAAAACACAAGCTCCAGCAATAAAAAATAAAAAGTGAAGAAAATAAAAGGAAGCAAAGTAAAATCACACTTTGCTCAGTGGCAAAGTTATCACTCCTCCACAACACGGAAATTTAGCACCCCAAACTAGCCTTTTTTCCATTAAATTAAAAAAAGCACACAGTTAAGCTATCAACACCACTTCATAACTGTAAAAAGGCACACACAGCTCTATGTACTATTAAAAGTGAAAGTCCAAACCAAAATAAAACCAACATACATGCATCTGTAATCACCATTTTCGAGCTTGTTTGTGTGTGTTTGAGTCTACAGGTACTGTAGCTACAGATCTGCACAAAGCTCTCAGAGCTATTCCTCAAACCACCAGTTATCTTAACCCAAATCGAGCCTGTCGGACCAGAGAAAGATAGACAACATTGAGTCAGGCTATAGTGTCCAGTGTAAAAGATCTTCTTACCCTCTCTCTCTCTCTCTCTCTCTCTCTCACACACACACACACACACACACACACACTCTCAACATCAATCTAATTAATCAAAGTATTAAATAAGATTCAGTAATTATGAATAAGCATTTGAACATCTTGTCTTCCCTATTATCAATGTATAAAAAAAACTTTTGTTCATGTGATTATGAACTCTGTGAGTTCATAATCTGGTCCTTAAACTGGTTTGATGTTTAAAACTACCACTGAACACCTACATAATCATTTTTTTCACAGTTCTAGGTGTTACTGTTACTCACCCATATGGTCTTTGGATGAAAGCAGGGTGAACCTGAGGGACACCGAAAGTAAAGCCTGCACACAAAAGCATTAAATAGCATGTTAACATTGCTTTTATCATTTTTACAAAATGACAAATGTTATAATCCCAACTAAATCCGCTAAAGATAAAGACTGGTGGAACTGCTGTTTTGTAGAAGTTTGCCAAGTCAGTGGGACTGTATACATGAAGTACAATAGCTTACAGTCAATCACATCATTACATCTCTAATCTCCTTTACAGTTACTGTTTACCATTAATTAAGCCCTGAAAACCTTAGGTAAACATCAGTGCATGTACAAAGAAAGAAACTACACAACTGAAAAATGCCTATGCTTTTGCAGGAACATAAATCTATCTGCGCTTTGTCACCCAAACCTTGTAGGGTTTGTTGGTCATCCTTAGTCATTGTGTCAATATATAAAAGAGCGATGCAGTTGTTAACCAATGGCTTCCACTCATGAATATTATCTTCTTTGCTCTTCATAGCAACACATAGAAGCCTCACCTGGCTGCATCACCCGTGGCTTGGCTCCGAGATAAGCCAGGTTAACGTTGGCTTTCCTGCCATCGATGATGGGGTTGGGGTCCTTACAAGCTCTGTCTGCAGCAGAGCGGTCTGCCATAGTCACCTAGTTTAAAATAGAGAAGTGTGGTGCATGAGAGATACATAAGCAACAAATGCTCTAAAAACTAAAGGGATATGCTAATTCTGGCAACATAAATATATATATCCAAACATCAATGACCCTGTTTGGTACTAAATAGCCAGAGAAAACCATTGCAGACTTCACATAATTGCTTTAAACACACCCTCATGACCTCTGCCCCAAATGAGGCTTTAAACACAAGATGGTGTGCTTTACTTGGTGTTTACTTATTTCTAAGATGTCTGGCTAACAAAAATCATTAAAGACATTTAGGATCGATGATGGGGTTGGGGTCCTTACAAGCTCTGTCTGCAGCAGAGCGGTCTGCCATAGTCACCTAGTTTAAAATAGAGAAGTGTGGTGCATGAGAGATACATAAGCAACAAATGCTCTAAAAACTAAAGGGATATGCTAATTCTGGCAACATAAATATATATATCCAAGCATCAATGACCCTGTTTGGTACTAAATAGCCAGAGAAAACCATTGCAGACTTCACATAATTGCTTTAAACACACCCTCATGACCTCTGCCCCAAATGAGGCTTTAAACACAAGATGGTGTGCTTTACTTGGTGTTTACTTATTTCTAAGATGTCTGGCTAACAAAAATCATTAAAGACATTTAGGTCACTCCAGGTTTTCTACTTCTAATGTTGGATATTCTCGTGAAGCAGGCAACAGGTTTATTGTGAAATCCACTTAGGGTCCCTTAACTGCTGCTGTGTGGACTGTCAAAACTTTTCAAGTTGGCTTGTTTACTCAGTCGCTGAGGAACTCTTATCAGGGTGCTTCTAGTCAAACTCGACAGCTGAGCCAACAAGGGCCTGTGCATCAATGACCCTGTTTGGTACTAAATAGCCAGAGAAAGCCATTGCAGACTTCACATAATTGCTTGAAACACACCCTCATGACCTCTGCCCCAAATGAGGCTTTAAACACAAGATGGTGTGCTTTACTTGGTGTTTACTTATTTCTAAGATGTCTGGCTAACAAAAATCATTAAAGACATTTAGGTCACTCCAGGTTTTCTACTTCTAATGTTGGATATTCTCGTGAAGCAGGCAACAGGTTTATTGTGAAATCCACTTAGGGTCCCTTAACTGCTGCTGTGTGGACTGTCAAAACTTTTAAAGTTGGCTTGTTTACTCAGTCGCTGAGGAACTCTTATCAGGGTGCTTCTAGTCAAACTCGACAGCTGAGCCAACAAGGGCCTGTTTTAGACTTAAGCTGTGCACTTTATTCGATCAGGAATATTCTGATTAACATGTGGCATGTGGCTTAAATTTATACTCCGTGTATTTTAGATTTAAAGGGGCCGTTTACTCAAATTATTACCCGCATAAATTTCTTAGAATTCAAACGGAGATGACAGTCTCAGACAGAGTCCACTTTCCTTATGTCTTTTCTTACATAAAATGAAAGTGAATAGGGACTGGGATATTCAGCCTAAGATGTCGTTTCGTGTTCGCCAGGACAACATGAGGGTGAGTTAATGTGAGTTAACTGGGGTGAACTGTCCCTTTTACAGCACAGGTTTCAATATCAGCCAGTAAAAGAAATGCAAGCAGATAGCGTAAAACAATTGTAAAAGCTTGAAAGGTTTAGCGGCCACTTACTAAAGCTAGTATTTGAGTCGTCAAGCACGCGCGTTACGCAGAAACTCAGTGTGTTTGATTATAAAAGTCGCCTTCATTAGATCTGGTGAGTTGCCATTTAAATGTGTTGTGTCACGCTGTCACACAGCCGTGGCGCAAAATGTTTGTTTCAAAGTTTACGTTTGACAGCCTCTAACGTCATAGTGGGAATACTTACAAATCCATAACCCCTGGACTTTCCAGTCTGTCTGTCGGTAATCACCACAGCTTCTTCTATTTCGCCAAACACTTCAAAATATTTCCTTAGACTGGAATCCGTCGTATGATACGGAAGACCACCGACAAATATCTTGGTATAAGTGGTGTCCTTTTGGGTGGTATGCATCCTCACAAAAATGCTCAAGTGCAAAAAAAAATAAAAAAGGTTAAGTCGATAGTGCAATTTAGGACTGATAATGACCGTATCACCCCGTTAATATTCCGTTAAAATATTCACTAGAAGTTACAAAAAGCGATTGCTGAGAAATATAAAACGCACGCTCGCAGATGGGTTTAATGTCAGAGGTAGATTAATGTGGTAAGTAGCCTAATGTGGAGCGGATTGAGCCAAGGATCATCAGGTGGGTCAAACTCCTCTTCCAAACTGACGTGACTTCTAAAAAGTGCGTGTTACCCATTCCTAAAAGCACCCGGTTAAACCACACCCAGATCACTCTGAGGGAGGTACGAGCACGCTTGACCCCACGCCCACTACACGCGCTGAACAACAGCTGGACGGCGCACAACGGGCATCTGTGTGCCTTTGTTCAAGAACTGTAGACATTTCATACAGTTGTTGTTTTAGTAAATGCATGTCAATTTGTGTATGATAGGAAAAAAATACTCCAAACGCCACACTTTTCTAACAGTAAGCTTGCTCATAAAAAACAGATTAAACCAACCATGTGATTTTATAGTTTTAACTGGTCTCCCAGCCTTGCCAAGCTGGTAGGCAAGCTGGTCTCCCAGCCAGACCAGCTGAAAAAATGCTCTAAAACTCTAGAAGGCCAGCCGAATACTGCCTGAGATCCCTATAAAACCAGCCTACAGACCCTGCTGGAAGACCAGCAAACTGTGCTGGGTTAAACCAGATTATGCTGGTTTAAGATGTCCCACCCACCCCCCAGCAGGAAACACTGGCAGTTTGAAATCGAACAAAAATATGGCTTCAGGCAAAAACAAAACATGACAGCGCAGATCTGTTACAAATAAACTTAATTGCTAAATTCAAAAAGGCAGACAAGCTATATGGCTGACACAAATTGGGTTAACTCCATATGACCCAATGCATAAGAAAAGAACAAGTTTGACAAATTTTGAAAAAATGTAATTTGTAGCATTTTTGTCAATTGTTTTTATTTATTCTTAAAAAATATAAAAAAATATATAATTTATTTAGGATTTAAAACTTATTTTATCCTCTTTTGGCCCCTTCAGGACATAGTGTTGATGACACTAATCAAGCGTCAGCTTGATATAAATATAGCATTTTAACATATATCTTTTTATGGCAAAATGGCAAATAGAAAATATGGCTGAATCACAAACTCAGTATGGCCCATGGAATCTATCGAGATTTCATGAATTTAGAAATTCAAAATATTTAAAATGTTGCAAAATGCTGCTAACAAAATTGAACATTTTTGATTAACATTTTAATAAATATATATATATATTTTTTTTGTTATATTTTTCTATTTATTTTGTTCATTGGTCACCATTTGATTAGAATTATTTCACCGTCTTTAATACATTTTTAGCATTTTTGTAACATGAATTTGTAGAAATATGCAGATGTCTCTACTTCATACTTCAGGACACGGCTGTTATTTATTGCAACATCAAATTAAAATCAGTTAATAATTAATTAAAAGTATAGTATAGCATTCTAACGTTTCTTTGACATGTGAAAGGCACATCTTTACAACAATCACCGACAATTACAACTGCTGATGTCAGACCATCCTGATCTCCTTTAGGACAAAAAGAACAGACTATTTGCTAGGTCTCCATATAATTGGGAGGAACGTGATATGTCACCAGGTAAATTATTAAATAGCCTTTTCATTTAGACCATACAACGTCCAAAGCACTTGGGTGATGGAGTTAAAAGAGTTCTTCAGGTGAGGACTCAAAAACAGAGGAGCATACACAGATGTGCTGGAGAATGGACGCGTTTCAAATGCTCTCTCTCATTGAAACTAAAAACAGAGTGAGTGTCTGGACATGTTATCTGCATCCCTCAATGAATATCTGCAGCATAAAAGCACTCATTTTGTGTAGTCAACACCTTTCATTTCTTTTTACACTTTTTTTTCCATATTATGGAAATTTGAACATTTTTTATTAACATTTTAATAAATATAATATATATATATTTTTTTTGTTATATTTTTCTATTTATTTTGTTCAGTGGTCACCATTTGATTAGAATTATTTCACCGTCTTTAATAAATTTTTAGCATTTTTGTAACATGAATTTGTAGAAATATGCAGATGTCTCTACTTCATACTTCAGGACACGGCTGCTATTTATTGCAACATCAAATTAAAATCAGTTAATAATTAATTAAAAGTATAGTATAGCATTCTAACGTTTCTTTGACATGTGAAAGGCGCATCTTTACAACAATCACCGACAATTACAACTGCTGATGTCAGACCATCCCGATCTCCTTTAGGACAAAAAGAACAGACTATTTTCTAGGTCTCCATATAATTGGGAGGAACGTGATATGTCACCAGGTAAATTATTAAATAGCCTTTTCATTTAGACCATACAACGTCCAAAGCACTTGGGTGATGGAGTTTTTGTGGAAGCTTGCAACCCGAGAACTAGCCTGTGTGGTGTGACCCGCCAAGCCATGTGGAGATCCTGACGCCCGTGGATGGATAATTGAGGCTTTATATAAAAAATGTCAGGTAGGAACTCGATCGAGAGCATCCATGAATCAACTAATTTATTCATGCCGGGCCACAAGCTCATTAAGCTGCGAGTGGAGGCGCAGTGAGGGAGATGGCTTTGTGTTTCAGCACAGTTACAAAAGGAGGCCTATCTTCTTTCAGGAGCTTGTCTACATTTACCTACAAGACATTGACTTGATCTTTTTTCCTGTACAGTTTTATGGGCACCCACTGCATAACTTGATTGGCAATCAATTTCATAAACTTTCCATCGAAAGGAATGTTCTGGGTTCAATCGACAAAGCTCAATTGACAGCATTTGTGAGATAATGTTGATTACCACCAAAACAATTTTGACTCATCCCTTTCTTTCTTTAAAACAAGCAAAAACCAAAGGTTCTGCAAGAATTTGTAGAAATATGCAGATGGCTCTACTTCATACTTCAGGACACGGCTGCGATTTATTGCAACATCAAATTAAAATCAGTTAATAATTAATTAAAAGTATAGTATAGCATTCTAACGTTTCTTTGACATGTGAAAGGCGCATCTTTACAACAATCACCGACAATTACAACTGCTGATGTCAGACCATCCCGATCTCCTTTAGGACAAAAAGAACAGACTATTTTCTAGGTCTCCATATAATTGGGAGGAACGTGATATGTCACCAGGTAAATTATTAAATAGCCTTTTCATTTAGACCATACAACGTCCAAAGCACTTGGGTGATGGAGTTTTTGTGGAAGCTTGCAACCCGAGAACTAGCCTGTGTGGTGTGACCCACCAAGTCATGTGGAGATCCTGACGTCCGTGGATGGATAACTGAGGCTTTATATAAAAAAAAATGGTCAGGTAGGAACTCGATGGAGAGCATCCATGAGTCAACTAATTTATTCATGCCGGGCCACACGCTCATTAAGCTGCGAGTGGAGGCGCTGCGAGGGAGATGGCTTAGTGTTTCAGCACAGTTACAAAAGGAGGCCTATCTTCTTTCAGGAGCTTGTCTACATTTACCTACAAGACATTGACTTGATCTTTTTTCCTGTACAGTTTTATGGGCACCCACTGCATAACTTGATTGGCAATCAATTTCATAAACTTTCCATCGAAAGGAATGTTCTGGGTTCAATCGACAAAGCTCAATTGACAGCATTTGTGAGATAATGTTGATTACCACCAAAACAATTTTGACTCATCCCTTTCTTTCTTTAAAAAAAGCAAAAACCAAAGGTTCTGCAAGGTATTTACAATGGAAGTCAAAGGGGCCAATTTTAAGGATTTAAAAGCAGAAATGTGAAGCTCATAATTTTATAACTTACATTCATTTTTATGTTAAAACTTTGAACTTGGTAAAATTGGTATTGTCATTTTTACAGTTGTTTAAGTGTTTTAGGTGTTATGTTGTCATGGCAACGAAGTTGTAAAATTGGATATAACTTTACACAGGAAATTCTAACGTGTTTTTCCACTGTTAACACCAGTGTTTTTTTGTTTTTTTTAATAGTTTTTGTTGATACTTTGAATTAGATTTTATTTTTATTTTCTGCTTTCAAAGTTTCAGTAATTTTGTCATGTTTATTAGTAGGTTTATAGGTATAGGTTATATAGGTTTTATTAATATTTCAGTTTTAGTTTAGTTATTTTAGTACATCAAGTTAAACTAAATGAAAATGAGAAATGTTGCCTTGGAAACTAGCTGAAATAAAATAAGTTTAAGTTTTTTATATTTTATTTTATTTCAGATCAATTATTTTAAGTAATGAACATGTTTTTAATAGTTTTAGTTTTAGTTTACTATAATAACCCTGGTTAACACACATACTATTCTATTGATTCAATTCCATTTTAAATGCCATTAAACTTTCTTTTTTACACCGAAAAGTACTGTTGATTTAGCTTAACTTGAACCCTTACTCTTGAACCCAGAATATTCCATAAAGTTAATGGATATAACCTGTCTTGTTAGTTCTTCTCCTTTTCAAGTTGGGGTTACACTGACGGAATAGTTTATAATAGACCTAATGCTGATTTTGTAGGGCAAACAAAAAGAACAAGAGACTACAGAGAGATTTTGGAGAGCCCTCAACACAATCCACCTGTCAAACACAGTCACTCACTCACACAAACACACATTTATGGCCTTCAGAGGTCATTGGTTCTAGCGGACAGCTGAACGGCTTTGAAAGCCACACACACATACAAGTCGTAAAAGGTTAGGGTTGAAAATTCTATAACCGTATGCTTCGTTTATTTGGATAAAGTCAGGTGAAATCTAGTTGTGCGGCACATATGTTTTAGTGTTTGAGTCTGTGATGCTAATTTTCATATGGTATCATAAAAGCCTGTCTGACAAGAGCCAGTTTGAATAGTGAGGCATTACTGCTTTGATAGAGGGTGCATAACAGGTGGGACCTGTCGGAATGTCAGTGCAGGCAGACAAATCACTGGCAGCTGTAACAGCACACACACAAGTACAAACACACACACACTCTCTCTCTCTCTCTCTCTCACACACACACACACACTCACTCAACAGATGACATGTTTTTAAAGGTATCTAGTTTTATATAATTAGCAAATTGCAAGAGGCCTAGTTACTTAAGACAGTTACACCATCATAATTACAAAGAGATAACATGCAAAGAAACCAGCAGAGAGCCATCTCAGATTTCCACTGTTCCCAAGACAGAAAGCAAGTAGCGCCACCTTGTGGACAGCCATTTACCTTCATTGGAAGGTACATAATTGCAACTGAGTGTTTAAAAGAACATACTGACTGAGTGTTTAAAATAATATATTAGATATAGATTATTCTAATAACTGATTGCATATAAAAGTAGTTTATATGATAAACTGTACATAAAAAAGTTTGGGGTTAGTAAGAAATGAATACTTTCATTCAGCAAGGATGCATTAAATTGATCAAAAGTCACAGTACAGACATTTATAAATTAATGTTACAAAAGATTTCTATTTCAAGTAAATGCTGTTCTTTTGAACTTTCTATTCATCAAAGAATCCTGGGGAAAATGTATCATGACTTCCACATGAAGAACATTTCCAGTTTTTGTTGTTGTTCAATTTTGTTGTTTTCTGCAGCGAGCACTTTTCATACCCTTTATTTCTGGCTGATGCACATTTGTTTCAATCTATAAGAATAATCAGCCTACACTACCGGTCTAAAGTAAATATATGTTGATATATTTTAATGTAATTTATTCCTATGATGGTAAAGCTGAGTTTAGATCATCATTACTCCAGTCTTCAGTGTCACCCTTCAGAAATCATTCTAATATGCTGATTTGTTGATTATCAGTTTTTAAAACAGTTGAGTACATTTTTTTTTTTCAGGATTCTTTGATGAATAGAAAGATCCAAAGATCAGCATATTTATAATGTTACGAAAGATTTCTATTTCAGATAAATAGTGTTCATATCGATATCGGAATTATATCGTATCGACCGAAATTAAGAAATATACCGTGATAAATTTTGGCCGTATCGTCCAGCCCTATTCTCAGTAGAAAATACATTAACTGGATGCAAATTGACTTTCGCAGAATGCTTTCATTGCAGGAAAATTCTGTCATTATTTACTCACCCTCATGTCTTTTCTTCCACGGAACACAAAAGTAAATATTTGTAGCAGAATTTCCAAGCTACTCTTTTCCATACAATAAAGGCATTTGGCTAAACCTCTCTAAGTAAATCACACAAATAGGAATGACATGAAAATGAACTATCCATTTAACAATTTTTATATCCCTACTAAATTTTTTTTTTTTCATTGTATTAAAAAAAATCTTTTAGGTCCTTTCACAAGACCACATCCCGCTATATGGCGCATGGTTTTTGGTGAGTGACTGTTAACAGGCTCTTCTTGTGTATCAGCGGCTATGTTGACTCAACCTCCAATGCATTGATCTATTGGCACTTTTCAGGTCTCAGTGTCCTTTACTTCCTCTTCCTGGTGCTCCTCATCTTCCTGAACTGGGATCAGGTGAAGGTGCTGTTGTATTGGCTGGACCCCAATCTACGGTACGCCACACGAGAAGCAGATATCATGGTGAGTGATATGATATCCAAAAAAACTAAATTCATCCTTGTGTGAGAGGCTATAAAGTTTTTTGTCATCAATAAAACCATCACATCTTATACTCTTTGTTGCTGTAGGCCGGCATTTTGTGTTTCTAAATAAACGATAATAAATATGTACTGGCAACTCAAGTCATTATTTATTCACATTGAGCTGTGAACACCTAAGCTTTTCTCGCTTCTCAACTGGTCTATCCTACGTTTTCTGCAATCTTTGATCTTGTTAGTTAGTCCGGTAATATTTTCCACCATGGATCCTTGGCTTTCATTAGAGTCCCACAATTTTTTTTTTTTTAATTACTTCGTTTACAAACCAGTATAAACGGAGACTGTTGCTGATGCATAATTATTGAACATTTAATTTAGGCAAGTTAAAATAAAATAAATAAATAAAAATGAAGGAGTGCATTCATTTTTATACAATCTGTGATTTCCTGTATAATGTCATCTTTGTCTATAGCCGTATAGTCGTGGTCACAGCAGACTAGTGCAGCACATAGATTATGTCTGAGCTGTGGAGTTTGAAACCCTCCCTTCAGTGTGTGTGTGTTTTTTTTAATCCAGTGAATTATGATTAATTACTGTAAAGAGATAATGCCAGCTTTCTGTAAGAGGTTTCTATGTAGCTCAGAGGACGGCCTGACTGCGGACATTCAGCCAATAGGATTATTTGAATCTCTGTCCATTGACATCAGGCTCCATGTCGCTCACTGTATCTAATTCGCACTGTGCCCTAATTTGTGTCAGTTTTTGTTTTTACTCATTTGTAAAATTTGTAAAATTGTTTCTTGAACAAAAAAAGAGGCTAATACAGCCCTTATATGTTGTAAAGCAAATAACATGTTCTTTAGTGTAAATAATTCTGAAGTTTTCCCATACAATTTTACAGTATTTATTTATAAATTTTTCTATTTAATAGTTTTTTTAAATGTTGTATTTGTTTTATTTATTTATTTTATTCCTAATTTTACAGGAGTATGCAATAAACTGCCACGTGATTACATGGGAACGCATCCTGAGTCATTTTGACATTTTTGCCTTTGGTCATTTCTGGGGCTGGGCAATGAAAGCTCTACTCATCCGCAGCTACGGACTCTGCTGGACCATCAGCATCACATGGGAGCTCACAGAGGTAATGCATTTTAACGGTTGGGGCCGGCTTTTTTATGTTTTTTGTAAGAAGTCTCTTATGCTCACTAAAGCTGCTGGTTTGATAAAAAAACAAAACAGTAAAAACAGTTTAAAGCTTTATATATACTGTAAATGTTTGTTGGATATGATTTATGATTTGACACCATGTGTGGGTGGATGTCTTTCCCAATCGAATACCTTTGAAAGTAAGTAGCTGCTGATGCAATAGTACTGATTATGCAACTTCCTCATAACTCCATACTTAACCTGTAAAATTAATGTAAAGGAAATATGACTAAGTGTTCTTTGACTAAGCAAATAAAATATAAAATCACAGTTTGAGGTAAACCCTTATAGTATCCTATTGAGTATAATTTTTATGAGTGACAGTTTTATTGTTTGAGGCATGCCTATTATTATTATTATTACTGTTGATACCATTATATGAGCTGATGCCAGATGCATTTGCTGAGATTATCACTAATTCACAATACTGCCTTGAGCAGTACTGAGCAGTGGAAACCGCCTGGATTGTTATATAGTGCATACCACCGCTTATTGCTTTATATTTCTCTCTACTCTCTCTTTCTTCCTCATTCAGTTGTTCTTCATGCACCTCCTGCCAAACTTTGCAGAGTGCTGGTGGGATCAAGTCATTCTTGACATCCTGTTGTGCAATGGAGGGGGCATTTGGCTTGGCATGACTATGTGTCACTTTTTAGAGATGCGTACCTACCACTGGGCCAGTATCAAGTAAGCTCTTTTTACGATTAATCTGTGGCTGTTCCCCATGAAGCCAACATTAGTTATCTGTGTTAACTCCAAACCTGTTTTGCGCTACATTCTTGTTGAATCATCTGATCCAGGGTTTTTAGGTCACTGAGGTAGTGTACAAGGATGTTCATGTGTCTAGGATTATTGTAAATGGGTCGTTTGTGTGTTTTGTATGTGTTCAGGGATATCCACACAACCACAGGCAAGCTGAAACGGGCTGTTTTGCAGTTCACTCCGGCCAGCTGGACGTATGTGCGCTGGTTTGACCCCAAATCCTCTTTTCAGAGGGTGGCTGGAATCTACCTCTTCATGATAATATGGCAGGTGTGTGATGCTACAGAAATGTACTTGATGGTGATTGTGATCTAAAACATGAGTAGTATGGAAAGATTTTTAGTTTATGCTACATTCAGGTTTAGTATGTCACGTATGAACTGAACCAACAGTGCGAAACTTTACTTTAGCCATGACTTTCCAAGTTGGCTGCATTTAAATTATAGTCACAGTGAAAAAATGAGTGTTGATGATAATTAAGATTTCATTATGATTACATTATGTACTTTTAATGAGAACCTTAATAATCTAGCTTGACAGAAAATACTTGTTTAGCCAGCTTATGGCGACAAAACTGCATATAAAGATTCCAATCAAAGTGCGCACATCCAACCGGCCAAAAGCTCAATGCAGGTGCTCAACCACAAAAATGTTCAAACAGGAAAATCAAAGTTGGCACACCACAGCTCCAAAAGTAGTAAAGTATTTAATTATGTTCTCACCACAGCTGATGTTTCGAGCCTAAAAGCTCTTCATCAGACGATCTGGTCTTCATCAGGTCTGATGAAGAGCTTTTAGGCTCGAAACGTCACCTGTGGCGAGAACATAATTAAATAATTTTCTACTTTTGGAGCTGTGGTGTGCCATTTCAATATATTTTAATATATAATGTATTCCTGTGATGGCAAAGCTAAATTTCCTGCAGCTTTTACTCCAGTCTTCAGTGTCACATAATCCTTCAGAAATCATTCTATGTTGATTTGCTGCTCAAAAAACATTTCTTATTATTATCATTGTTGAAAACATGATTCATACCTTTGCGGAAACCATGATACCATTTTTTCAGGATTATTTGATGAATAGAAAGTTTAAAAGAAAAAGAACAATATTTATTTGAAATGGAAATCTTTTGTAACAATGTAAATGTCTATACTGTCCCTTTTAATCAATGTTCAATGATCAATGTAATGTGTCCTTTCTAAATAAAACTATTAATTTCTTAAAAAAAAAATCTTAATGACCCCAAACTTTTGAACACTAGTGTAGATAAAGCATCAGTTATACACCTAATGTGCCCTTTGACCTAAAAAAAATCTTCTGTTTAATTGAAAAACAGAGCAAGAAATATGAAATTGGTCAATACATTCAGATGGGCTTGAACAAACAGTAGCAGACCACAGATTTAGACTTCATGTATCTTTGTGGTTCTTTGGGTTTTCACTCATTTTTGTCCTGTTTCTTTGCTCTCCAAACAGCTCACAGAATTGAACACGTTTTTCCTGAAGCATATCTTCGTATTCCAGGCCTCTCATCCTCTCAGCTGGTGCCGGATCCTCTTCATTGGGATCATCACTGCCCCCGCAGTGCGGTACTGTCCAATTACCCTCTTCCGTGTTCCAGCGTAATCCCTTGAAATTAACCTTTCTTTGTAGTGGCACATCTCACCCGACCAAACAATATTAAGACATTTCACTTTATTTTTGCTCTGGCCTTGTTTTGCTACTATAGAGATCAGGGCCCGGTTGCATGAAAGTCCTTAAGTAATTTGACTTAGGAGTATCCCTGAGGGGAAAAAATTCCCTGAGGTAAGGGATTTCTTTAGGAGCGTTGCAACAAACGTCTTAACTGTCACCCTTACCTAAGTGTTTATACTAAGCGTTTCACGGTAGTTTCTGACCACATACGGCAATGGGTGCTGCGGTTACTATAGTTACCACATCTCACAATAAACATAGATATGTATATATCTATGACAATAAACAGAACATAAAGAAATACAAACCTAACCTACTAAAACACGAACAAACATTAAATAAACGAGCGCTGTCCGTTTCTGCGCAGCTTTGTGTACAGTCGTTACCAATGAAACCGCTTTGTTTCTGCAGTTAAATCGCCTCCTGCTGACTAATGATGAAAAATTTACCAAATGTGAAAATTGGCGCTGCAAACACGCAGGGTTGTAAATGTGAACAGGTGGATTGACAAGAAGATAATGCATTATAAAAATCTAAACAATTAAGACATACATTACATTTATATTGTTATTTAATTAATGCAATAATTGATTCATAATAATTGTTTAAATTAATATAATAATTGATACAACTCATCCATTTTCTTAAAAAATTATATAAAACTTTTTGTTTTGTGAAAACTTGTAAGTCATGCTTTTTACAGTCATTTTACAGTTTAATTTGTTACCATAGTCATTGTCCTACTGTGCTCATATGATATTTTATTTGTGGAGGTCTTAAAAAATATCTTAAGACTTACATTTGAGTTTAAAAATCCTGTAGATACTGAGTTTAAGATGACTTGAGGGAGCTGTTTTGGTCCCTTAAATTTATTAAGGTGAAATGGTTACTAAGGACTTTGTAGCAACGCTTAAGGGAACACTTCGATAATTAAGGGGAATACTTAATGACAGCCTTAAGGTTCCTTAAGTTGACCCTTAGGATTTTTCTTGCAACCCAAATTTCACTAAGGGTTCCCTTAACCTTATAACTAAGGGATAGCTTGAGGGCTTTCATGCAACCGGGCCCAGGATCTTTATCTCTTCAAAATCTGATGTACTAAAGCAAAACCTTTTCCTGGAAAGGCAGGACATGAGATCCACCAGAAATGAGAAACATGAGAATGCCATGTCTTCAGAAGCCAGTTATTTTATTTATTGAAATTATTTATTTATTGTGGAGTGTGATCCGATGATCCATAAACATCCACACAGAAATGCCGTTTTTCCAGCCATATAATCATTCTAAATAAATGCATTCATTTTGGATAATGAAGTTTGGCAGATGTTTATACACCCATTGTACTGTTTGATGCCAGAGGTGTTGAATGACTCCTATTATTTATCGTTTGCATTTAGGCAATACTACGCATATCTAACAGACACCCAGTGCAAAAGAGTTGGAACACAGTGTTGGGTGTTTGGGTAAGTACGTTTCTTTATCTAATGCAACCGTTCTATGTAATATCTGTCAAAATAAGGATTTTTAAAAATCATATTAATAGTTTAGCCAGTGTTTTTTTACAGTTTGGATGTTTTGGGTCTTATAATCAGCAACAGATGATGACTTATAGGGATAGTTCATCAAAAATGAAACTTCTGTCAAAATTTCCAAATCTTTCCAAACCTGTATGAATTGTGTATTGAATTTGTGGAGCACATTTTGAGCAGTTTACATTGACAATGAAAGTCAGTGGGGTCCAGTGTTGTTTTGGACCCCACTAAAATTTCCAAATCTTTCCAAACCTGTATGAATTGTGTGAAACATAAAGGAACACATTTGTGGAGCACATTTTGAGCAGTTTACATTGACAATGAAAGTCAGTGGGGTCCAGTGTTGTTTTGGACCCCACTGACTTCAGTGAGTAAACAAAAACAGTTTAAAATATTTTCTTTTGTGTTCCAGAGTATAAATAAAATCACACAGGTTCTGAGAGACATGACAGAGTTTAAATTTTTGGGTGAACTATCCCTTCTACATAAAGACCGTGTCATGAAATTATTCTGTCTGTTTAATTTTGAACTTATTTTTGAAATCCAGAAAAACAGTTCTTACAGTGGTATAGATACAGAGCCATATAATGCATAGGTTTAGTTCCATCTCGCCACAGCTGATTTTGTTAGAGTCAGGGGATTTGTGTCCTGTTTACCAGACAATCTCACTTTTTCCATTCGATTCCAAACAATGGAGGTATTTTCTCTTGGCTTTAAGCTCCAGGTCTGCCAGATTATTCCTACATAGTCTGGTGACTAGAGTTAAGAAACCTCACTTTTGTGTTTGCAAGTGCTACAAGTCTAAAATGCTCATAGAGATGTACCATTATGCATTAAACACAAAAAGTTATGTTTATTTATTTATTTTTTATATTGAAAGAGGGTTTATTTACATGGTTTCATAAAACCTGAAAGTATTTGATACTGTTGTTGAACACTTAAAGGGATAGTTTAACTAAAAATTAAACTTCTGTCATTTACTCACCCTCATGTTTTTCCAATCACATGTGACTTTATTCTGTGGAACAAGAACAGGTAGTATTTTGAATTCTGTGTTTTTATGCTACACAATAAAATGAATGAGGCCCACTGTTTTTGGACCCCATTGACTTTTAAACATTCTTCAAAATATTCTACTTAAAAATGTATTTATTTATTTATTTATACTACATCATACTACAGATAACTAAATATCAGACATAAATATCAAATTATTTATCATAATTTTCAACAGCATTTATGTTGTTCTGGCATTTAAATATTTCTTTTCAAAAATTGTGAAAGCTTTTGCTTGAAAGTTTGTTGGCTTATTTATATAAACAAACAAACAAAAAGACATTTTAAGTGTGGTTTAAGTGTCCTAATACTTTCTGGGGTGTTGCATTTATGAGTGTGTTTCTGTTCTTCCTTTTAGGGCCATTGCTTTCCTGGAAGCTCTGGCTTGTATCAAATTTGGACAAGACTTGTTCTCTAAAACACAGGTTCCTTATGTTGTCCTTTGGCTTTTGTGTTTGGTGAGTGTTTTGGTTGAAATTTCCTTTATTTATAAATATTGTTTAAAAGTAGTATTACTATTGTTATATATTTATATTAATTTATACATAAGTATTTATCTATTTATATTTGTATATTATTATCTTTTAAAATGAATTTTAAAGAGACATTTTAGAGATGTTTACTCTTTTCCTTAACAGATAGTGAAACCTTAACAAATATCGGTTATGTTGCTGTACTGTGACTATGATGCAACAGTTTATTATGTTCGTTTATACATCTGTAGTTTACACTGAATGTTTACAGATTGGACCCTGTGTGTTTCTTTAAACTAAATACAGTGGGATCCAAAAGTCTGAAACCACATTCAAAGTCTAATTGAAAATAGTACAGAAATGTTGTATGGCATTTACAATTCTTCATTATTTAGTCCTTCACTAATAAAAAAAAGCAAATTACTGGATCATGTGCAAGCGACATAAACCAAATACTAAGACATTCTGAAATTCATTTTCAGAATTTTGAATCCCACTGTATGTGTGGTGAAGTCTCATGCACACGTTCTCTCTCTTTCTCTTGCCACCTTCCAGGCTTTCATTACTTTTCTCTGTCTGTATGGAATGATTTGGTATGAGCAGAATTATGGGAAGAGACTGAAGGTAAAGGACCGTATTTATTCATCTGTTACAATAACTTGATATACTGAGAGATACTAAGATCCTTAATTAAATACTGTGGATTCTTCAACAAGAATATACATCTAGTGCTGTCCACTGGTCATTCACAACCTGACAGCATTTACATTAGAATCATCCCGAGCAGAGAGCACAGAGAAAGTCACAATGAGGTGTTAATAATTTGCTCAGGTGTGAGTCTTTGTTGTTTTATCCTGGTTTGTGCTGTACTTGCATATCAAATATTGATACACTGATAAATCTCTTAACATTGACAGAACATTGCAGACTGTGACGACAGCACCCTTATTGACACGTATGACCACATTCTTGAAACTGCCAAAGGTAACATACAATCTGATTTGTTTTAGAGGGTTTCTCAAATGACATTAAACATCTAGAAGTTGAATGTTTTAAGGAGATTTTTCACACTACGCTCAGATTTATGACAGGGAATTTCCTTTCAGTATTTACATTTTCTACCCTATAGATTAAAATTAAAATAAAATAATTGTACTATGATATTAAGACCATATAAAGAACATTTGAGATTTATTTACCCCTCGAATATATAATTTAATCTGGTTTTAAATCTGAATTTAACACCAAAACGTATATATTATTACATAATTACTACTATTAGCAGAGAAGAACTCCAGTAGTAATTCCACTTCATCACGGAGAAGAAAAGGAGGCTCTGGAAAAAACAAAACAATCAATGGAACAAGCGGCAAGAAGTGACCACAGCTAGAGACTGATGATCTCTCAATGGACCACAAGGGGTGAAAGAAAGAATATGTCATAAGCGGTTGAAGAGAGTTTAAGCGGTTAGCTGTGTTATAGTGTGAATACACAAGAAGCGGTTCTATAAACAGAGGACACATTCCAAACCACAAGCCTCTGTCTTTACTATATACACTAGTTTTTATTTTCATAGCACTTGGAAGGAAACAATGATTTGTGGTATGCCAGGATTACGGGAAATGACACAATGCACACTTTCCAGTGGCACTGATGTGACTTTCATATTTAGGAATGTCAGAAGCGTCTGAGCCAGTGAATGTTTGTGATGGCCCTCCTAATGAAATGAGCTCAATGCTGCCAGGCTTTCTGTAAAACATGATGGGAGCGTTATTCAGCTCTGATTATTTCTTATTACCAGTATTGTTAATGCAGACCAAGCCCTGTCTTAAATGTTGCACATTTTTCTCCACTTGCCCTTTAATCAGTGAATGTTTTGTTGACGCATACCTATGCATTGATCAGGGTAAGAAATGTTATGCATCATTTCATTGTGAGCTTAAAAGCGAGCTCTCCTTTTTTGAAAATCCTTTAAGCACTTGTTTTAATGTAGTATGATCTTGGCACAGCTGTTCCATTATCACAACATTTACAGTTTTTCAGTCTTCTTATATTTGCTCTTTTAAATGAATACTGCAGGGTGGTTGAAGGAGAGGCAGGTCGTGACCTTTTGCATTAAGAGCTGTGGATTTACTTAAATGTAATATGATTCAGCTTTTTTGGCAAAATGTAAAGGTTGTTTAGAAATAATGACATAATGTTGTGTCAACATGTGGTGTCATTTTTTTCCTATACTTTTATAGTTATTGCTTTGTATGTTAACTTTTGTGATAAGATTTATACCTGTGTGAGTATGTGGGCATGTGCATACATGATTTTAGTCCCATAATGTTTTCTGTGTGAGGCCTTTAAATGACGATGCATTTCTATATGCAGTTTTTTGAAATAGCTGTAATTTTTGCAAAACCTACATTTAGGATTTTGTGCTGTTTTTGTAGGCAGGAATGTTTTTTTTCCATGGTTTATTAATACTAAATGGTAGCCTATGCATGCTTATATTAAGGTACTATCACTTTTTTCTTTTTCTTTATTTATTTTTTTTACATTCTGCTTTCATGGACCAAATTGTTGAGCAATACCCAAGCTGATAGTTATACAGAATCTAATATTTTCCCCTGGAAAAACATCAAAACCTAAAATAACCGTTAAGATTTCTAATCATGAATTTTGTATGCATCTGCAGTTTGGAAGGTGACCAAAGAGTCTGCATAAAATGTGATGTCAAACTTGAATCCGCCACAGCAGTGTTCTCATATCTAATTTTTTCAGACCTTTAATATGATAATCAGGAGAAATGAGGTGTGACCATTTTGTTTTGAGATTTATGAATGAATGGTTAAACTTTCCACAGATGTGAAACCCCTCAAGGGGATGTTATTTTCACTTTCTTAACACAAATACTATCATTGAGTAAATATTTCAAATAAAATACTGAACTGAAGTCTCTTTGGTTCTTAGTAATTGTAGTATAATTGTTTGTGTTTCTATGGGGGGGGAATTTATACCTGTAAATGTTTTTTTTTTTACGAACTTTGCAGTGATATTGGTTTGTTTACCTTACTGTAAACGTCTAGAAAAAGTACAATCAGTATTTAAATCTGATTGGTTATTCCAGGACAAAAAAGGATGTTGAACCAGGAGCACGTGGAGTCTGGTTCACTAAATATTTAAAGCAGCACTATGTAACTTTTGGCGCTCTAGCGGTTAATAAAAAGAACTGCACACATCCCGCGGAAGAACATTCCAACCGGAGCTACTTCTCTTAAGTTTATGTCTATGGCGATTCACACAGGTATGTGTTACTCCGCAGCGGTGACGACCCGACCAGGCTACAATAGTCCAAATATAAGTACTTATTATAAGTGTACCGTAGTGATTCGGAATAAGACAAAAACGCGGTTTGGAAGATGAATTCATGATGTACTCGCTCATTATATACATTTTGCTAATTTTGAACACAGAAAAGGTTACATAGTGCTGCTTTAATGAATTATTGGTTACGATCATGAATCTGATATAAAGTTTTGATATAGGCCTATACATTTCAGAACAAATATCTCCCTCCTTTATAATTTATCCAACATGCCATTAAAGAAGTAAGTGTAATTAATGTTACTATTATTATGTTATTATGAGTAAAATATGGTCTGTGATTAAATTCAGAATTCATGTTTGAGCTACTGACTGTGTAGTTTATCTTCTAGAACACAACATTAAATTCTCTTGACGTAATGTTTGCCACAGGCCTTATTTCACTCATAACCACCGATCTGAATTCCACGGCCGGTTGGCCTACAAACTGACGTCAGCCCCGAACGCACGTGTCTGTCCGAATTACATTTCCCATAAACCCCAACGCCGAAGTGGCTGATGGTATATTGGAGGGCTGCGCTGTGACAGCGGAGCTCTATCCGGCGAAGCGCTACTGAGCAGACGCAATCTAGTTAGCCATGGCGGCGACAGGAGGAGGGAAAATCAGATCAAGAAGATACCACATCGCTTCAAAACCTTATGCCAAAGGCAAACAGGTAAATAAAACGAAACCCTAGTCGCCACGGCAAGGATTTTAGCGGTTCTTAGCTTAAAGCGCACCGGTGTTTTGCCAGCGGGTTTTGTATTTGTAAAGCGGGAGACGTTTTGAGGCCTGTTTCAGGCCTGTTCACGTTCTTCCAGCACACGGTCTCAACACTTGTCACCGCAATACCGCTAACTCATTTGACTGAAGAGACGTAGCCGTTAAGTGAGGAAAATGCTCAAAATATGGCGTCAGAGAGGTGGAATTTTAATGTTTTTAAATAATTTAAGACAATCGCGTGAACGCGTTTGAAAACACAACCCGTTAGCCGTTAGCTGCGGCTCGTACCGGCGTCATACAAGAATACTTATATTTGAATATAAATAACCCTCTGGATAAAATGCTCTTTATACTCCGAAGCTCACGTCTCCCATCTTTTGCGCCGCTCAGAGGGTCCACATGTGGGTAACCTGAGCTTCACAGCACGTTTGGCAATGTTTTCTTTAATAATATTTCATGTCTAAGTCTTAAACTTGGTTGAAGATCAATTGGATATGACTGGCGAGTCTGGTACATGTTTTGCATAAATTCGGAAAGCACAGGTAATTAACGCACTAGGTTTGTCATCATGAAGAAAGGCGGGATGAGTGCGTGTCGTGGCGTGTTTTCAGAGCGAACTGTACGTTAGCTGGAACTCACATGCTGCGTTATGAAAAGAGAAATAGTGCAATGACTAACGCACGTTAATGGATTAATGTCATTCCATGTTCTATGTACAGACATTTTAATTAGTCCTTTACTTAACTTAAATCATAAGCTAGCCTATATTTGGCTAATAACTTTAGCAATATTGATATCTTTTTGCGTGATAAGACCTGTGTGTTTTAGGGAAATTAAGTAGAACTTATGTAAATAGAAATATTGTATTTTTTTTTACTGAGATCTGTATATTTGGTAAACGGTTAATCATAATTTGTTAAAATAGTCAAATCATATATTTTTATTTTTAGTCTAAAGATTAGACTGTTTTTCTGTCAAAAAAACAAATGAAGCTGGTACTGCATATTGGTTATTATATACATAAATTATTTGTATTGGCAGTTAAAAACATTGGTCTCTAATTCTAAACTAATGTTTTTTGAGGTGTCAAAATGTGGCAGAGTTGTTTGTCTATTCTGATCTCATGTAGTGACTAAAACTGTTATGCCATAGAAAGTGGAATTAGTAAAGAACAGGGAAGTCTCTGTTCTTTTGTATTGCATTTGAAATGTTTAGCAACTTAAAAATCATGGAAATGCCCATATTTTCTGTTGACACTACCTATACATATTTTCAATGCGCATCATTGCACCTAGTTTTCCCCCCACTGGCATTGCATAAACTGCACACACTTGGACCGCCCTTTTTTTCTCCAAAAATTATCTTAAAATGTTTAAGGGAAAATGTATACTCTAGATGCTGTATTTGATCATTTCTTTTAAGCATTTCACCTTTCATTTTAAATGCTCCTGTATTGTGGCGTTTTTATGTGCAAATCTATGCTGCACCTCACTTAAAATGAGGTAATAAAACTGCATGTATAGTATTAAAAAATGCTGTCTAAGCCATTTCAGTTAAGTATATCATCACATCACAACTTTTCCAAAGTGTGTCGTGTCAGTTACACATGTGCATTTTAACACTGTGCAGAGATAGTTGAGGTTGCAGGTGTGTTTACTAGATTAGATGGTGTCATAGAGTGGAGTATAAAGTGTGGTTGAACTTAAAGGGGTCATATAATGCTACATGCACTTTTACAAGTTGTTTGAACTGAAATGTGTGTTGGCAGTGTGTGTACACACCCACCCTAAAATGATAAAAATCCACCCAGTGTTTTTTTTTTTTTAAATCTGGTTAAATGTTTTCCCCTTTCTCAAATCGAGCCGATCTCTATTATGTTCGTTTTTGAAGGGAATGCGCCCCCGATCTACACAAATGCGTCTGTTCGCGCAAATCATTCGTGATCCAGCTTCACCTACAGAAGAAGTGAGTGTAAGGTTTTTTTAACGAATCTTTGCAAATTGCCTTTCCTAATAATGTGCTAATTAGCAAGTTTAACGATGAATGCAACTAAAGTAAACAGTCTCTCTGAGAGCGAGGGGCGAGGTCAGCAGAGCTCATTAACATTTAAAGAAAAATGTTACAAATCTGCATGCTCTGAAAAGAGCTGTTTTTGACAGGGTAAAAAAGGTGTTTTTTTACACTACCATTGAGAAATTTTAACCAAACTATGTTACAGACTTTTCATCAAGACCCTAAAGAATCATATCAACTTGTGGAAAATGGGCATCCTATGACCCCTTTAAGTCATTGTTTTTCCTGTACACTTTATGAAACTGCTCTCCCACACATTTTTGGTAGTATTGATTTTCCTTGCTGACTTTGGGTGGCGCCATGTGTGCACTGTTGACAGGAAGTGACTTATGTTGCAACCCTGAGCTCATGCATGAGGCCCCAGCCGTGAACACAGCTGGATTTGTATGCCGAGTGCATGCAGCATATTCATGTTGTTTATCCTTTATGTAGTCTTGATTTCAGAGTAAGGCAGGAAGATTAATTACGCTCTTGCTCTGGCCTATATTTAAATCACAAGTGTCTATAAGCATTAAAGGCCTTCCATTTTGATTGCGCAATGTCTCCCAGCTCTTCTGCTGAGGCCAAATGGACTATTTAGCTTTCCCACCTGTCTGAGGGTCACATGCTTACAGTGTTCAGCCAAAGAGCTGATCTGTGGTGTTGCTGTGTCCAAACCCTGGAGCTCAGTTAGAGAACAATAAGCCTGTAGTGCTTGCACAGTGATTTGGTCCCCAGGGCCCCTTTTAGACGACAACTGAAGCTCTCAAATCCAGACCCTCTCTAGCCTTGGGGATCCACACTGATTCTGCAGTATGGCAACTAATGAATCAAAGTTTAGGATGTCTTTTCTTGCAACTTGGCTGCATGCTTAGTAGATAAGTTGAAGGCTGATAATGATTCCTGATAATTTACTCACCGCTATGTCATCCAAGTTGTTCATGTCTTTCTTTCTTCAGTTGAAAAGAAATCAAGGTTTTTGAGGAAAATATTCCAGGATTTTTCTCCATATATTGGACTTCAGCGGGGACCGACGGGTTGAAGGTCCGAATTTGCCGTTTCAATGCAGCTTTAAAGGCCTCAACACTATCCCAGCCAAGAAATAAGGGTCTTGTCTAGCGAAACGATCTGTTACTTAAAAAAAAAAAAAATTTGATATACGTTTTAACCACAAATGGTCGTCTTACACTAGCTCAACTTCACGCATTACGTAGTCACATTGGAAAGGTCACACGTGACGTAGGCGTAAGTACCAACCAAGTGTTTACAAAGTGAACATGCAAAGAAAGTTAAACGCCCTTTACTAAAAAAGTAAAACTATGTTGGGCGATTTTAATGTTGGATTAGAAAATGAGATGGAGTTTTTCGCCCTTCCCTACCTTTTTGAACCCTAGTACACAGACGAAGAATTAACCACGCATGACCTTTCCTACGTGAAGTCGTAGACGCACATCGCAGAGCTAGTGCAAGACAAGCATTTGTGGTTAAAAGTATATACATTAAAAT